ATATAACTTGACAATATCATGTTTGTTTGTTTTGGGTTTTATATCACATCGACACAGTATAGGTCATATCCCGACGTTCCAGCTTTACTGGTGGAGGAAGACCTCAGGTGCCCTTCAGTGCATTATTTCAGGCACGAACGGGCACCTGAGTAGAACCACCGACGTTCCGTAAGCTAGCTGGATAGCTTCCTCACATGGAAGAATCCAAAGTCCCTGTCGGGATTCGAACCCACAATGGTGAGGGGCGAGTGAGACAATATCATGTATTTTGTACTGATAAGTAAGTGTGGAAATTATAAAGCCCAGGGTTTTACGGGACGCAGAATTCTGCGTCCCTATACGCATAAATTTTGACATGTACGCATATAAGTTATCTACTTGCGTCCAAGTGTACGCACAAAAATAATCCTAGACAATAGATATTATTGTTTCTGACCCGACATGATTTTATCTCTTTCTTCTCGAAGCTCACAAAATTCCATTTTAATCTAATACAGCGTGCAGAAAATGCTTGCATTTGTTTATTTCGGAAGTTAACATAATTGAAATCTACTGCGCATGCTATTTGCAAGTGCCCGCTGCAGAAACTGATGACGTTTATCGTGCAAGCTACAGTAACTGATGACGCTTACCGTAAAATCTATTTTAGGTACCCGTTTTTGGTTTTTCTGTTGCTATATTTAGACATACTATTTATAACAAGCAATTACTATTGGTTAGCGTGTCCAAAATGTCGATCTACCAGTTCGGCGAATGTATTTTGTACATGAACGGCAATAATAAACAAGAGCTGTCCGTAAGACAGCGCGCTCGACTTTTTTATTGCTTGCCAATAAAAAAAGTTTTTGCAGTAAAAGGCAATACAAGAATCTCTGTATTTTTAAAGTGAACAATGGCCATGAGCATTAAGATATTTAGTGAAGAATTATTTTACTGAATTGTGTGATACCCTTGAACACTGCAGCAAAGTTTGAAATGTTTAAGTCAAAAGAGGGCTGGTAAGAAAGAAAAAAAAACTAAGTCGATAAAAGGCCTTAATTTTTAAAACAAATCCTTGACAGAGTTACCTTCTCTTGCGTACAGATGGGGGTAATGATGTGAAATAGCATTAAAAGTTTCAAAGCAATATCTCAAAGGGTTAAGGCAATAAGTGGATTTTACCCATATTCAATGTATTTTCTAAGTCAAAAAGGGGCATAATTCTGTCAAAAACCTTGACAGAGTTATGTCCTCTTGTCTGTTGATGAAGGTCGTGATGGTAAACAAGTATGGTCAGTTTCAAAGCAATACCTCCAATGGTTTTGAAATAAAGTGAGGTGGTACAAAAAACTTAACCAAGCTCAATACACTTTCTAAGTCAAAAAAGGGCCATAATTCTGTCAAAAACCTTGACAGAGTTATGTACTCTTGTCTGTAGATGGAGGTTATGATGGTGAACAAGTATGGTAAGTTTCAAAGCCATACTTGTAATACTTCTGAAATAAAGTGGGGTGGTACGAAAAACTTAACCAAGGTGTGACGCCAACGCCGACGCCGGGGCGAGTAGGATAGCTCCCCTTTTCATAGAAAAGTCGAGCTAAAAAGTAGTGCTTTTTGCAAACCTATTTTCATGTAGTGTTAAAGAAATTAAGTTACTGGGTATGTTATTATCGTTGGTGTTATAAATATAATGGTTTCAGCGAACTTAACTTATGAGGAGGTGCAAAAGCGGTTTCGTCAGCCTTTTTGTATGATATTTTTAAAAACGCAACATATTTAGCTGACTGGTCTGTAAAGATATCTATTGTGTGTTTACTAGTTCAGCTAAAATATTTACAAATAGATCAGTACAAATTTTCAGTCTGTTGGTGTAATCACCTTATCAATAACAAAATATGCTACTAAAACTTGACATTCCAGCCACTCAAAGACTTAAATAAGCCTTGGAAATTCCGAAATAGCACATGATATTATTGTAAAGGGCTATAAAAAACCTAGTGATAAAAGATATTGAAATCATACTTATGAAAACAGTACAATATACATGCATATTTCTCACAGGTAAGTGATTTTATGCAAAATAGAGTGGTCTTTATAGTCTTTTATAGTGAATATAATTTTGGACCCCTAAAATTCAGGCCTGGACCCCTACTTTTCTAGGCTGTGCATCCACTGGACCCCTAAAATTTCAAAGAGATGTAAAACCCTGATAAAGCCATTAGTATAAATAGAACTTGAGATATTTCCAATATATTTTGCCGTTTTAGGTTAACCATTATTCATTTTCTAAGTGCTGAAAAGGGCAATAACTTGGTAAATATGGAAGCAATAGTTATGTTACTTGACCAGATCATGTACTTTGTATTGATTAGTAAGTGTGTAAACTAAGAAGCCATTGGTACAGGTAGAACTGAATAAAAAAATCCAACTTGCCATTCTAGGTTAACCTTGTAAGGACAGACAGACGGACGGTTCAATTACTATATGCCCGGGGGCATAAAAATCCCTGTGACCTTGACCTTTGACACAGTCAACTCAAAATCAATAGTGGCCATCTACTAGTCATAAACAACCTGAATACCAACAAGAGCTGTCCGTAAGACAGCGCGCTCGACTTTTTTATTGCTTGCCAATAAAAAAAGTTTTTGCAGTAAAAGGAAATACAAGAATCTCTGTATTTTTAAAGTGAACAATGGCCATGAGCATTAAGATATTTAGTGAAGAATTATTTTACTGAATTGTGTGATACCCTTTGAACACTGCAGCAAAGTTTGAAATGTTTAAGTCAAAAGAGGGCTGGTACTAAAAACTAAAAAATTAATATCTCAAACAGTTCAGTCAAAAAGTGGACTGGTACTAAAAACTTAACCAAGATTCTAAGTCGATAAAAGGCCTTAATTTTTAAAACAAATCCTTGACAGAGTTACCTTCTCTTGCGTACAGATGGGGGTAATGATGTGAAATAGCATTAAAAGTTTCAAAGCAATATCTCAAAGGGTTAAGGCAATAAGTGGATTTTACCCATATTCAATGTATTTTCTAAGTCAAAAAGGGGCATAATTCTGTCAAAAACCTTGACAGAGTTATGTCCTCTTGTCTGTTGATGAAGGTCGTGATGGTAAACAAGTATGGTCAGTTTCAAAGCAATACCTCCAATGGTTTTGAAATAAAGTGAGGTGGTACAAAAAACTTAACCAAGCTCAATACACTTTCTAAGTCAAAAAAGGGCCATAATTCTGTCAAAAACCTTGACAGAGTTATGTACTCTTGTCTGTAGATGGAGGTTATGATGGTGAACAAGTATGGTAAGTTTCAAAGCCATACTTGTAATACTTCTGAAATAAAGTGGGGTGGTACGAAAAACTTAACCAAGGTGTGACGCCGACGCCGACGCCGGGGCGAGTAGGATAGCTCCCCTTTTCATAGAAAAGTCGAGCTAAAAATGAAGACTGTGGGTCATTGTTTGTTTGTTTGTTTCATTTAACGCCTTTTTCAACAGTATTTCAGTCATATAGGCGGGTAGTTTCCTAACCATCGTTCCTGGAGAGTTACATCAGTACTAGACTACCTTCCTCCGCGCTAAACTACCAAAGCATCTCCCAGGGATCGAACCCACGCCAGAGAGGTAACTGGATTAGAAGTCATCGACTCTAACCCCTCGACCACGGAGGCGGTATAAGACTGTGGGTCAAAGGTTTCTTAAGTTATTGGGCAGACAAACTTTTGAAGTCAAAGTCCCTGTGGCCTTGACCTTTGACCCAGTGCCCTCAAAATCAAAAGGGGTCATCTACTAATCATGACTAACATACATGCCAATTTTGAAGACATTGGGTCAAAGGAATCTTAAGTTAAGTTATCTTGACATTTGACCCAGCGACCTTAAAATCAAAAGGGGTCATCTACTAATCATTACTAACCTCCATGCCAAATATAAAGACTGCAGGTCAAAGGAATCATAAGTTATTGGGCGGACAAGCTTTTTCAGTCAAGGCCCCTGTGACCTTGACCTTTAACCCAGCAACCTCAAAATCAATAGTGGTCATCTTATAGTCATGACTAACATGCATGCCAAATATGAAGACTGTGGGTCAAAGGAATCTTAAGTTATTGGGCGGACAAGCTTTTATAAGTCAAGGCCCCTGTGACCTTGACCTTTGACAGAGCAACCTCCAAATCAATAGAGGTCATCTACTAGTCATAACCAACCTGCATGTCAAATTTGAAGACTATTAATCAAAGGAATCTTAAGTTATTGAGCGGAAAGCTTTTTTAAGTCAAGGCCCCTGTGACCTTAACCTTTGAACCAGTGACCTCAAAATCAATAGGGGTCATCTACTAATCATGATTAACCTTTATGCTAAATATGAAGACTGTGGGTCAAAAAAATCTTAAGTTAGTGCATGGATAATCTTTTTTAATCAAGGCCCCTGTGACCTTGACCTTTGACCCAGCGACCTTAAAATCTATAGAGATCATCTACTAGCCATGACTAACCTTCATGCCAAATATGAAGACTGTGGGTCAAAGGAATCTTAAGTTATTGGGTGGACAAGGAAAAACCAACGGAAGGCCGGACTGGGAGACGGACGTACTCACAAAATTGTACTTCTGTGACTTTTCCTTTTATCTTTTTGGCCATTTATAGTCACACAAGGCTTAAAAAAAGACACACAAGTACCTCTGGGTTCAGACATCTGGACAGCCGGATGTACAAGCTGATTCCAGTATACAACTTACATCGGGGGTATAAAAACACGTTCCCTGTTGTTACAATATGAAACCCGATAAAAAAGTAACCAATGAGCGAGCACCTGAATATGGTATTCCTATCGCTTTCCCTTTCTCTGCTGTCACAATAAGTAAACCTCAGCAAAAATGAGCCAATCAATTGGCATGCTCTGGAGTGCGGGTAACTAATACCTGCACTCCAGTTAACGCACTGTGCATGTATATGTACACGATTTAACTCTGACACATTTTCAACAGAAAGGTCCCCTAACTATGATACAATGTACACTTACATCTTGAAGTTTACCAATAGCTTGTTGTGCATCTTGTCGATGTACAAGTTCCTTACTATCTTGAAGAACAGCCATCATATCATCAATATAACAATCAGCCTTACTCTCCTCTAACTCCATACTGTTTAAAATCTCATTTTGATACTGCCGTACCTAATATACAGAAAACAAATAATACAACATTCAAATAAATACAGTGTTCAGCAATGAAACTTAACACGATTCTTAAATTGAGAATTAAAACCGTTAACCCATTACGCGATATATACGCCTTTTTTTACCCCCCCCCCTTTTGGTGTCTCAAATGGTGAAATAATGCCTTATTTAGGCCCCAACACTTGTTTTTGTTTGAGAAATGTTGTTTAAAAAAGTGACCACTTTTTTCGGCACGGCCCCCCAACCAAAAGGTACATCAGGGGGTTGCCAGAAGGGGGATGTACCCCCTTCTATTTGGGGGTTTGAAGGGGGGCGTAGTCCCCCTCATCGCCAAGAAAATTTCAGACTTGTTAGAGGCTAAAAACAACCCCAGATCAATCATAAGGTAATGTGTAACCAACGCTGAAAAGTACATTTGTATTTGACTATCTCAATCCATTGAGAAGTTGCAGCACTTGAAAGAAAAAATCAACGCAAAATAGTGATTTTTGGCAATTTTGATATGTCCCCTCGTGGCCATGGTAACAGGAAATTTAAGCCTGAACATGTTGTTGCAAAGGCAATGATCCAGTCAACATTTGTGCCAAGTTTGATTAGTATTGAAGCATTTTTTATAGCAATTTGAAATTGTAACAGGAGACTTTTCAATGAAAACAGCCATTTTTCACAAAATGCTCATGAAGTAATGGGTTAAAAGAGTTACTTTAAAATACTTAAGATAATAATAATTATTATTTTTGTGTTTAAACTGCAGATTATACAAGAGGGCCATGATGGCCCTGAAGTCGCTCACCTGTATATAGGCCCCTGAAGCGGGGCCAGTTTAAACCCCAGGGCTTTTATTTGAACTAACTTGGTAGACACCCATTAGAAGATATTTCATGCTTAACATCCAAGGTCTAGCTGGTCAAGTTTTTTTCTTTACACATATAGTTAAAAACAATGACACACCTGGGGCAGGGCCAGTTTTGACCCAAGGGCTTTTATTTGAACAATCTTTGTAGACACTTACTAGAAAATGTTTCATGCTTAATATCTAAACTCTAGCTATTCAGGTTTTTTCAAAGAAGATTTTTAATTTTTTGCTATACACATATAAGGAAAATCAATGTCAGCCGGGGCGGGGCCAATTTTGACCCCAGGGCTTTTATTTGAAAAAACTTTGTAGACACTCACTAGAAGATGCTTCGTGCTTAATATCTAAACTCTAGCTATTTGAGTTTTTTCAAAGAAGATTTTTTAAAGTTTTTGTATAACACATATAAGGAAAAGGAATGACCCCCGGGGCAGGGCTCATTTTAACCCCAGGGCTTTTATTTGAACAAACTTGGTAGACAATCACTAGAAGATGTTTCATGCTTAGTATCTAAACTCTAGCTATTTGGTTTTTTTCAAAGAAGATTTTTTAAAGTTTTTGTATAACACATATAAGGAAAAGGAATGACCCCCGGGGCGGGGCCAATTTGAACCCCAGGGCTTTTATTTGAACAAACTTGCTAGACAATCACTAGAAGATGTTTCATGCTTAGTATCTAAACTCTAGCTATTTGGTTTTTTTTTTAAAGAAGATTTTTTAAGTTTTTTCTATACACATATAAGGAAAATGAATGACCCCCGGGGCGGGGCCAATTTTGACCCCAGGGCTCATATTTGAACAAACTTGATAGACATCCATTAGAACATGTTTCGTGCTAAATATCTTAGCTCTAGCTCTTTGGGTTCTTTAAAAGAGGATTTTTTAAGTTTTTACTATATGCCTATAGGTAAAATCAATGACCCCCTGGGGCGGGGCCAATTTTGACCCCAGGGCTTTTATTTGAACAAACCTGGTAGACATCCATTAGAACATGTTTCATGCTAAATATCTTAGCTCTAGCACTTTGGGTTCTTTAAAAGAAGATTTTTTAAGTTTTTACTGTATGCATATAGGGCCAATTTTGACCCCAGGGCTTTTATTTGAACAAACTTGGTAGACACCCATAAGAACATGTTTCATGCTAAATATCTTAGCTCTAGCTCTTTGGATTCTTTAAAAGACATTTTTTTAAGTTTTTACTATATGTATATAGAGAAAATCAATGACCCCCTGGGGCAGGGCCAATTTTGACCCTAGGGCTTTTATTTGAACAAACTTGGTAGACATCCATTAGAACATGTTTCATGCCAGATATCTAAGCTCTAGCTCTTTGGGTTTTTTAGAAGAAGATTTTTTAAGTTTTTACTATATGCATATAGGGAAAATCAATGGCACCCTGGGGCGGGGCCAATTTTGACCCCAGTTTTTTTCTTTGAACAAACTTGGTAGACACTTACTAGAAGATGTTTCATGCCAAATATCTAAGCTCTAGCTCTTTGGGTTTTTTAGAAGAAGATGTTTAAAGTTTTTTGGTTGCCATTGCAACCAGAGTTCTGCATGGAATTAAATTCTTTGAACAATTTTTAAAGGTGACCACCAAAGGAACATTCCTGTGAAGTTTGGATGAAATTGGCTTAGTGGTTTATGAGGAGATGTCATTTAAAGCAAAAGTTTACGGACGGACGGATGCCGGACGGACAGACGGACGGATGCCAGACGAAAAGCGATTACAAAAGCTCACCCTGTCACTCTGTGACAGGTGAGCTAATAAAAGCAAATGGAATAGAAATGGCTTTTGATAAATTTATGTTAAAATCATTTTACTGAAGTAACGATATTTACTTACATGTATTTGCTTATAAAACACAAATTACCTACTTCTGTACATTTTACTGCGAGGCTTAACATAAAGATAGCTTTTGTTTCCCACCCACAACAATACAAGCTAGCCAAAAGATTGTATTGCCAAAAAATATTTGTGCAGTGATTTTTTTACAAACTCATCAGTGTGGGTCCTAGGACTCGCTGGGCAATAAATCTATGAGTCCAAAAATTCAGCCGACAAATCCAAGTTACAAGGCATAATATTGCTTTAGTGATATGAAAGGTACATTAACAATGGAATGAAGAAAAAATGAATTTGACTTCTACATTAATTACAATGCTTCTGATACTGAAATTATTTAAAACTGTCAAATAAATTTAATAAGTTTATTTCCATTAATTTAGTTTGAGATTAATCAAAACTTCTTTTTCCTTAATATTTTTTATGCTTATCTATAGTATAGCACATTATCATTTCTTATCTGTAGAAGATTTACAGACATAACTTGAACACAATTTGGTATTTATTACCAAATTCCTATGAGACAGGACTCCCTACTCAGAAAAAGTATGCATCCAAAAGATGCACATTATTTTAAACTTTGCATCCACAGCAAATTCAATGAGTCCTGGACTCAGGATGCAGAGGTAAAAAAATCACTGTTTGTGAATACAATTTTACTTGTAACAATTTTGAATATTTACTCATGTGTGGCAAATTGTTTCTATGGCAATAAAACTGCATTAGCCTCCAAGTTATATGGACATAATTTCAACTTAGTGTGGTAATGGGTTAACTCCTATAAAAATTCAATAATAGTTAACCAATAACTGCACGAAGGTAACAATAAGGCCTAAATTAAAAATAGCTTTGTTTGCTGTCTCCCGACCGACCCTAAAAAAACGCTGCGCTCCGAAAAATTTTATTTGCTCTCGCCGACCTTTTTTTGGTGCCGCATATTTTTACCGATATCCGTTCAATAACGGCGTGTAGTATTCTGGTTCCCGCGTATTATTCGTCACGTGTATCGACTATCAAGTACCGCCGGGTAAAAGTCGATTGTGTACACATCCGTTACAATTTTGCAAAACGAAAGTTAGAAGATCTTCAAGAAGACGAGTATTTTATCATCTCGTCAACATTTATTATTACGTTTATTCAACTTTGTTGAAAAATAACCTCCACGAGAATGAATTTGTCTGGGCATGGGTCGATCTGTTGAATGACGTCGAGGATTTTTACCCGAAAAAAATCGGACGTTCTTACGGTATGCTTAAGGTGATTCCGCTTTGTCAGCCATGTTTGTTTTCACAAAGTCTGTCCAAAGTGAAAGTAGGCCAAAATTCATATAACAACAAAGCTCTTATTGTAAAATGATGAACCATTTGAAAGTACACTTCCAGGTTTATATTTTAAGGACAATTATAAACAAAAATAAAAATGATAACAATAAGAATATTTACCTTGAATGTGCTACATTTCTGAAGACCAAAAACATTCTGTTGCAAAGTTTTATGCACATTTCATGAATGGCAAAATCCTTTTTAAGTCTGTTTTAGTGCCTTCAAAAGCTATTTTTTGCAGCAAATACAAAAATCTTTCAAAACTTAACTCCAAATAAATCCATATCTCATGTCCTTCTAAGCACATGGCCTCCATTATTTTTTGTAAAAAAGTAGTGCAAGAAAACAATCATCATTTATAGCCTTATGAACTACTATTAAAATGAAAACACTATCAAACTTTAAAATCTAACCTTTTAATGTGTAACAGTGAAGTGTGTCTGTTTGTCATGTACACAAGAGATAGGTAAATTATGTTTATTTTCATGGTACTACTTTTTTTACACATGTCATGGTGGCCATGTTTTTTTCAAGGTCAGATAAACTACTTTCCTAAGATTTATATTTTTTAAAGTTTTTTGTATTTTCTGCAAAAAATAGCTTTTGTAGGCACTAAAACGGACTTTAAAAAGGATTTTGCCATTCATGAAATGTGCATAAAACTTTCCAACAGAATGTATTTGGTCTTCAGAAATGTAGCACATTCAAGGTAAATTTTCTTATTGTTATCATTTTTATTTTTGTTTAAAATAGTCTTTAAAACATAGAACTGGAAGTGTACTTGCAAATGGCTCATCATATAACAATGTGAGCTTTGTTGTTATATGAATTTTGGCCTACTTTCACTTTGGACCCACATAGTGAAAACAAACATGGCTGACAAAGCAGAATCACCTTAAATACTGGTTTGTGTTAAAAACTTACTGAGTGCTCATGTAATCGACTTAAAATAAAGTTCTTGTAAATAAATAAAGTTTCTTGTATGTACTCACTCATTTATAAGTACCAGTATTTATTAAATAATCATTTTCTTCAACCAGCAAATGCACTTATCTTATTGTTTTCAGTACCACCTGTCTTAGTATTTGAACCATTTCAGCACTCGTTTATCACATTTTCTCATTATTGCAGGGCTTTAAGAATAGTCTTCTAGTGGGTTAAAATGCAAGGCACTGAATGCGGATAAACCAAGGTGTATTTACTCCAAGAATAAATTGATAGGTAAACATGATCTCTAAAACACAACCTTGAGAAATTTGGTTACAACTGTGATTCAGTCATTACAGTTGATGGTTAGTATTAGTATTGCACATTGTTGTGCTTATTTTCTTAAAATAGTGATGTCAAAATGTTTTTACATAATCAACTGAAAGTAGAAACCTGATTTTATTCTTTCTAACATATTTCCCATGTTTGTATGATTAAAAAAGTTAAAATAATTGCATTTTTGGCAAAATCTGTATTGCATAAAGTCTAGCCTTCTGTCTGTTTTCATAGGAGATGCTCTGCAAGGGAGAGTGTTTGTATGACTGCAGATGTCATGCCAATCTCACGTGGAGTTCCCTTACTGTGCCTCCAACATTGGACGACCAGATATTTGTGCCCATTGTGATGAGCCAGAAGCACAGAGAAATCCAGAACTGTTAACAAAGTTTAGCCTTTAGGATTGTACTTCCAGTTTATGAGCAATGCATCAATGTCCACAAGAAAGACATTCCCCATAGATGTCCTATAAAAAATGAATACTGTGAACCTAAATTTTGTTGGTATACTGTGGCTTAACTGTTTACTTGTCTGAAGTTGCTTAGTGTTTGAAATTGTTTTTCTGGTTGTGTCACTAACTATTCATTTCAGTGAAAAAAAAATGTAAGCAGACTTTAAACTGTTGATGTATAATGATGCCTTTTGTTGTTCAGTAGTTATTTTGCATAATATATTTGAGTATATTTGTGTGTTTTAGTCATCCTCTCACATGTTGGGTGAATGTTTGAAATTTTGCCTTTGTTACATGTATTTTTATTAAAAAGAACTATACTTCTTGTATTGACTAATTGAAAGATATACAAACTGAAATTAAGATATATCAATTTTAAAAATTTTTATTCGCATTTTTATTAAACCGTTTTTTCCAACAAACAGAATCAAACCAAAAACATGTATGTATTTCCAAAAAAAAAAAAAAAAAAAAAAAAAATCCCTACCTACCTACCCAACTCTAAAAATTAGGGTCGGGAGACAGCAAACAAAGACTTTTTTAAATGTGGCCTAATGAATAATCTCTTTAACTTTTATACTCAATTAACAGACTAAATCTTACAGTAAAGCTTAAAATTCTACAAAATTTAAAATAAACATATATACTGAACCAAAAAAAAACTTTCGCAAAGTATGTGCCAGTTGTTCAAGGGTACCACTTAGATGTTCACACTTATATACATGTAGTAGCTTGTAAAACTCGTTTTGTTTGCAAAATCGGTCAGCTAATCCCCGTATAAAAGCACGTAAAAATTGAGCTTCAAAAGGATTGAAAAACATATCTACATTCAAACTTGTAGAAAGTTTCTTTTTTGTTTCAGTAAAGAATACAAAATTTAATTGAGTTACCTTTGAAAAAAGATTGTTTGGTCCTGTAACATTGCATCCAATATGACTATGAAAATATGTGTTATTTATGATAACATGAAGCAACCCTGTACAATCTGTATCGACTGCCGATGTCTTATTCTTGTACCCAGGAGCATTTATAAAACATTTGCATATGCTCCATGGGTCAGCTGACCAATCATGGGCATCGCTGTTTTTTTCCAAAAAGGTGCCGGTGGTATTGATGCATGATACTGTATAATGCTGTCATAGATGGCACCACATACATTGTTTGACAGGGTTTCTTATCATTTGGAAAGCAACAGTTACATTTATCTTGTTTGAGGGACATATCCCTTTTTGAGACTCGGACATGATCTGGCTGGAGAGTTGTTATCTGACAGGAGCTGCATGGTATGTTTGGTTGAGGAGTCTTTGTTTGTTGTATTTTTGTTTATAATATCGTTGTGCTGCTGTCTTCCAATGTCATCACAAAATGGCGCAAGTCGTCCCTCTTTAAGATTAACCCAAGCCTAGGCAAGCCTTAGCCCACTGCCAGGTATATTTGTTGTTCTTTAAATGTATCTCATGTGCCATCTTGATTTCTAGAAAAAAACAAGATTGTATTTGTGAAAAATGCTATGCCACCGCATTAATACAACACTATACAGTAGTGTAGAAACAGATTGTTTTTTGTTATTTACAATGAAAGATTGCCATAAATAATTATCACTGACCTATCTAATTCTTATTATCCAGATTAGTTGGTGTAAATCTATTGTTATGTATGCAACATATTACATGTATATATATTTATATCTGACCAGTTGGTATTTCACAATATTATCATTGTTTTATTTTTAGAAACATTAAACTACATGTGATGTACTGAGGAAGGTTTTACCTGTTGTAGAAAACTTCATGCAATTATATTTAGATGAAACTTCTGGAATGATCTTTATTGTTGAAGTTGCTAGGTTCTTGATTACTTGAGAACATAATAGACCTTGTCTGGAAACTATCTTAGTTAATATATATAAGGAGACATATTTTCATTAACTCTTTTAAGTCATCAGTTACCTTTTTAGTCATCAGTGATCTTTTAAGTCATCAATATATATTTGCGAGTATTTATTCAACTTGGAAATTAAATGATTTATTGGAGCTGGATTATTAATTATTCTTGTGGATTTATTGTGGGAATTTATTCTAAAGTGCTTTCTTGGATTTAATTGGATTTAACTGTGCTATTGAAAAAGGATCATTCCAGGATTTCAGGACTAGACATTTGTAATTTTATATTTGGATTCAGGTATTTGTAAAATAATTTGGTTATTTTATTTTTCTTTATAATATTTTTCTTGTAATAAATTTGTTATTTGTTACAATTTGTTGCTGGCTTTTTTCTCGTTACGCCTGGTCGTAACAGAAATTGGGGCTCGTCCGCGGATTTGAATATTTTCTTTTTGGCTACATTATTGGAAATTATTACCGTTTTTATTTTACATTTTATTATTATCCGTATTTACTATCTGAGTTGATATCTATGTTGTATCTATTAAGTGTACTTTCATTTTGAAATTTTGAAACACATCACTTTCTGAGTTTAAACTCAGCAGCAGGCAAGAGTCATGTCTTTTATTTAGCTATAGAAAAGTTTGTCTAGAGCTGAACATTCCAGAGGTCATATAATTTGGCTAAGAACTGATTTGCTCGATCTTGCAAAAAAGCTTATAATTTATTAGAAACTTAAATCTTCAATGCGTAAACAAGAAATTAAAAATTCTTCTGTTCATTATTTAGTTGAATGAATGAGTATTTTTGGACAAGATGCACTTTTCTCTGATTGTTGAAACAAACCCAGAAATTTAAAGATAAAAGAAGCTTGAAGCTTTCAATTTTAAATTTGAATACTGAAACAAATGCAATTAGAAAAGAAAGGGAGAAAGGCAGTTACAGTTAGAAAAAAGAAAGGGAGGAAAGAACAGTTAGAAAAAGAAAGGGAAGGAAAAGGACTGTTTAGTAAAAGAAAGGGCAGAAAAAGAAAGGGAAAGGCAGTTTGAAAAGATACAGGGAAGAGAGACAAATTAGAAAGAAAGGAGGAGAGAGATTTCAGTTAGAATGGAGAGAATTAGAAATCAAGAGCAGCGATGCAGATTTTAATGAAATTCAAATTTGGATTGTCACTAAATATTAGTTGTTCCACTTTCTAAGCAGAGTGATAGTATTTATCTTCTATTTTTGAAACAGGTTGCTGCAATTTAAAATGGCCCAAGAGAGCATGGAACTTATTTATAAGGCGTCTTACTGGTAAAGTCGTGTGACTATCCCAATTACTGTCGAACAAAGCTCTATTATGATAATTTCAAAGATTATTTTCTAAAGGTTATGAGTTAGTACCAGAGGCCTACGGCAAAAATTCGGGAAATTCTAAGAGAAATTGGTAACCATGTGAATTTGCAAGGGAAAAGCAAAACTTTTTGATTGCGGTGGTGTCTATCTTAAGAAAATAAAATTGAATCATGAAAGACTAGACAGCTATAGTTAGTTGAAAGAGTTTTAACGTTTGTGATTCACTCAGATGTTAAATCTTTATTGAATGAAAAACAGTAGAAACTTTAGAAGAAGTTGAGTTTAGTGAATGATTATTCTTTAAACCCACAAAGTCTCATTTTTTAGATTAAAGGGATGTCCCCCCTCATTTTAATTATGTTCGTTTGGTAATTTATTGGCTCATTCTAGTGTCAGTCAAGTATCCAACCAAGTCATCTGAATGACTAAGGTATAATCGCCTTTCGTCCTACATGCCATTATTGAGGAAATGGATCTATTTTGATTGTTACCTTTAACACGGGGAGTCACAACAACGTTTGATGAGGCCCACAGGTCTTTACTGTCACGGATTCTGACTCAGTTTGTATTTGATACAACTGCAATTATTGAAGGTCCAGAACCAAGTCTGATTCTTATGGAGATTAATGAACATTCCTTTCGGGGTTCGTGTCACTTTCGGTGATACTTGCGCACCTACGTTCCTATTAAAATGTTTAGAGCAAGGGCTTCTCAATCTTCTTATTGCGATCCTGCCTTTGTTTGAGAAGACTTTGCTGGATCAGTGTCTTATTCAGGTGTAGAGTGTGTTTTTCTATGTTTTCCCTCATAATATTTATTTTGTCTCAGAGTTTGGTTACATGGGCGGTGGCTGTAGGCTAATAATAAGATCTTTTACCTTTATGGGTATATTGCTAGGTATGATTAGTGGAGTAAGGTAGTGGTTATTCACTTGTACTGACACTCCTTGTGTTGGAGCGATCCTGACCCTTGAGCGGTTCCTTGCTTTACCTATATGTGCGTTATCGAGCTCATGGCTAGAGGCCATTCAGAGTAATGATTGTTTCAAGATATTGACTAGCTGATCTTTTAAGGTTCGAGTCTTGGATAATGAAAGAAGTTTTTCTCTTACTCTACTCCTGCCTGAACTCAGACAGATTTTCAATATCGATTTTGATACACCAGATTAAGATCAGGTCTGGCGCGCTGTCATGGTACGCTTATCCAGGCAACAAATGATCTGAGTTTCGGTCCTTTATCAAAAGGCTTTTAAGTGGAAGATTGAAAGCTTTACAAGTCCGCTGTTTGTTATTATTGAAGAATGGGATTTTTAATGAGAAAGGGCGCGCCCGAATGTCCTGTGAGAGGGGTGGCTGTCTAATCACCAATTGTGGATCCAAAATCTAATCGCCAGGTATTTTAGCTTGGTCATGAAGCACCCATGGAGGTCATTAGGTGGTAACTAAAAATACATAAAATTTCAATCATTTTTATTGGGTGGCCTGTAAAAGAGATGTATCTAAGTATGTAAATTGTTCATACTTGCAGTGGTTGGAAAAACCTACATGACAATACCTCAAGCTCATTTACGCTATTCCTGTTATTGAATGAACTTTTGTGTAGGTTATTATTGACTGTGTCGGTCCTTAACCAAAAATAATAGGTTCTCAGTACTTATTAACTTTTATGTTCTGCTTCTACGCGCTTCCCTGAAGCTATTCCTTAAGGATATTAAATGTCAAATATTGCTTAAGGGCTCTTGTGATACGTTTTTCAAGCTTTTGTTGGTATTCTTACCTATCAGTCAGTCTGATCAAGGTCAATTTTATTGTCTGGTATTTTCCAGGGTCGCCGGTTAGGATTATCATATAGGGTCCTCTCAGCTTATACCCTGAAGTCAGGTGCATTAGAAGTTTCACGGATCTAAATTGATTAGGTCATATTGTTTTGACCATGAAAAAAAGACTCTGGGATGAGGTCCATTTTTTGTTAATTTGCTGTAGAGATCGTGTTCAGGATATTTGGCTTCAGCCCTTTGAATTAGTATTTGGTACCACTGTCGAGGACCCTTAAAACTTTCTAAAGAGATTCTGTCTTGAAATGAATTCTTTAATTTGCTTCAGTATGTATCAGATTTTCGAATTAAGTGACTAACGCATCGTTGGAGTTAGTAGGTTAATTAATCAAACAAGTAATGAATTTCAAAGGTTTGATGAGAATGACTCAGGAAAGAAGTTTACCCTGGTGTGCAGTATTGCTCTTTTACCTATACCTTGGAAAACCTTAAGTGCAAGATAACTTTGGTCCTCTATAGTTATTGAAAGAAAGTCAGTGACTTAATTTATTATTAATACTCCTGGGAGGCGAAAGGCAAAAGCAAATGTGTTTAATTTGTTAAGGATATTTTGACGAGTAGCAATTTAGTAACCTATATCTTTTGGTAAACTCTGTTCCCCAACACAAATCTGTTCATTGATTATAGTTCGTGAAATGTTTGAAAAGTTCTATCTGCTTTCGCAGCTTGAAAACTTGATATTCTTGAAAAATTGGAATGAAAATTGCTCATTAGAACGTCGACGAGATGATTGAAACAGCTTATTTATAGGATTATGAACATTTTTTCTGATATTCCGACGACTGGACAAAAATACCATCATTGAGTTCATTCTTTGAATCTGACACAATAAAACAGCATGCCATAGTAGAAAAATCATGTAAACAAAAGTATAAGCAAAAGTCAGTATTTACTTGGATTTGACTGTTATTGAACAAGTCAAGCATTACAGTCTCCATGCTATTCTTGTACGAATTTCAAATGAATATAGATGTGTTAACAGATTTCGTAAGTGATCGATGTAAAAAAAACTGATTCTTTTATATTCAAGCGAATTTGATTGATGATATAAAAATTGTGAGGAAAAAGCAAAGTACTGTAACAAAGTTTGTTTCTAAGGTTACTGGCAAGTTCCACTTCTGGTGAGCTAAGGATATCAGCCTTCTGAACACCAGACGGCTCTGT